TGGGGCTGTAGTGCCAAGAAAAAAAAAGGGTAGCGTAAAATTGTCCCTGTGCTTAACTAATTAAGCACTACGCCATGAAGGCGTATGGGGAGTGAATGTATAGTTCAAAATTTTTCTTGGACCTATGCATTAGCTGGAGGTGAGTGGTCACCTTCACGATCTGGGAGCTTTACCTCCTACGACATGAAAGCTTGTGGGGGAGTGAATGTAGAGATCCACATTAGCTTGACCTCGGCACTAGCTGGAGGTGAGTGGTCAGCTTAACGCTCCGGGAGAGAGCCTCCAGTACCCATTGGATAGGAGGCTTGGGTGAGCCCCAGAGCCGGTCTGGACGACTTGGAGAAGAGAAAATTGTTGACCCAACCGGGCTGGAAATCCGACCCCTCGGTCGTCCAGCCTGTAGTCAGTCTCTATACCGACTATGCTATTAGTATAGTTAATATTTTTTGATGGGAGGTTTAAGGGTTCGAGTCCCAGGCAACATTAAGTGTTTGAGGCCGTGTGTACGTGAATTTGCCAGTTGTACAAAGTACGTACTATCTATAGAAGTTTTCGCTGTCAGTTGCCGTGTCTCAGGGCTTGTGAGGGATGTTAGCTTCATGTCTGTGTGTGATATTTTGTCCAAAGCATTGACGAACTGTTAAGTTCGAAAGACTAACTCCCCTTCTTAAAGTGATAATGTCACGTTGCTATAGGTATTGACAATATTCCCATGCTTTATTGAGCACTGCTCCTTGAAGACGTATGGATGAGTGAGGTACAGTTCCGTACATTCTTAAGCTCGGCATTAGGTGGAGATCGTGGTAAGCTTCACGCCCTGGCCACTTTCCCCCAAGGCAAGAGCCTCCGGTATCCATTAAACATGAGACTGGGCGGACCTTTGAGCTAGTCCGGATGCTATGGAGAAGAAAAATAATACTTGCCCTTCCCGGGAATCAAACCGGAGATTCCTCGGCCGTCCAGTCCGTCAGGTTACACTTGTAGCCTGAGAAGATTTAATTAAGTCCCTGTCAAAGCTTCAGAATATAGGTGTGGGGGCTTAGCTACCACTTTGTATAAACAAATATTTGGAAGGCAAGATTTTCGTGTGATTATACTTTCCTTTTACTCCACTTTTTACTTCATAGCTCCTCAAAGTGTGTCACATCTGCCACCAGCTAGCCTGTCCTACATAACTTCTGCGTTTGATCCAGGATCATTGAGCAAAATACGAATTGCGCTTTTTCGCATGTACTTTTTGTAATGGGGCGACCCAGAGCCAGTACAAACAAACCAGGCGTGCAGCACACAAGAACGATCAGACTGGAGTTTAATAAAGTAAATGAAGTATCTCATTTTGATTAATTTTACGAATTCCTAGGTTATTTAGCTTTTGTCGAGCCTTTTAAATTCACTCCATCATTATGATGTCAGACCAGGCGGTTTAAATATCTTTTATACAGTTCAATGTAAGAAGAGTTTTGTCCTCTAAGATATAACGCCATGTAGTCCGTTAACTCAACCGACGTTTCGGAGCAACACATCGCCTCGATCTTCCTTCAAGGTCGAAGAATAAGCCTATCAAGCAGCACATTTGATTGCTGTCTGCTTTCATGCTGGTTCCTACTTGGCTTAGGTTTCCACCCCGAAGATGGAGGCCAGACGTTCCTCTGAAACGTCTGGTGACTTGTCCCGGCAAGGACAAGAAATTATTATGCATAGCGTCTAAAATGGCCCAGGGGTCCACCCAACTTGCTATGTAATGGGTATCGGGGGCATAAAGGTGACCACTCACCTTCATCCTGACGTTAAGAACGGTGGAGCTGTACCTCCATTCTGCATACGTCTTCACTTCATAGGTTTTAATTAATTAAGTAAAAAGTTATCCTTATGTTTAATGAAGGACTATGTCATGAAGACACATGGAGGAGTGGAGGCATAGTCCCACTATTCTTTTCGTCGGCAGTAGATGGAGTTGAGTAGTCAGCTTCACGCCCCGGTCGCTTTACCCCAGAGGAAAGAGGCGCCGGTACCCACTGGACACGAGGCTGGATGGACTCCAGAACTGGTCTGAACGCTGTGGAGAAGAGAAAAATCTGAACCCCCCCGGAATCGAACCACGGTCACCCATCCCATAGCCTGTCGCAATACCGATTGAACTATCCCGACTCCCATTTATACATCCACTGGTCTAATTAACGGATCTGCAGAAGAAGTTGCTTCCCTGTGAAGGTGGATTTCGTGTCCATCGCATCGCCTGCCACGTACGAGTATTTACGTTCACTCAGTAGGCAACATGAACGAATTATATTGCCTCCTTTGTGTTTACCGCAGTTCCCATGGAGTCTGTACAATGTTGCAACTCTTGGTGCTTTGCTACGTTCGCGCGGTGTGGCTGACACAATGGTGGGTGAAGCCACCCAGCCCTGTTCGAGCGAGCGAGTGAGGCGGGCAGGGTTAGCCGCCGGACTGCGGGCCTGTGAGTGGTGAAGCGCTGACGTGTCGATGAGTGGTCTGCCGAAACCTAACATACGAAGTTGAACAGATACATGATGATGATAATAATAATAATAACATAAGGGCGTTCTAGCAAGAATATTGGCTAAAGTTACGTTACTTGTATATATTTCGGCCTTCACACAGTAATGCGAAAGGGGACAAGTTGTGTCTTCTACGATGTAAGCCATCATAGTCCCTTGAAACTCAACCGACGTTTCGGGGGAATATATCGCCTCCATTTCCAAGGCCCAAATGTAAGACATGGAGGAAACCAACATGAAGCAGACAGCAAGCAGAGCCATACGTCACCCCCTCAAAAATTGAAATCATCTGTGGTTCTACTGCTACTTTCTTACAAGCAGACTCATTGTACCCTTGCCTAGTGCTTACTGTGTTACTGGGAGTGACATCCACACTCATCGTCGCTGTTTTCTGTGAGGTTCGAACTAAACTTTAAATCTGGCCACAAAGCATAGCAAGAACCATCATCTCTTTGAACAGGAGGCCCTGCTTCTAAAGATATACATGTCTAGAAGAGAACAAAAATCTTGGTCATGGATCCTGACTGGACTCAAAACCAGGAATTAACTGTGCTGGCAAGGACCAGCAGAAATGTATTCATATCCTCATAATCAAGGGATCCCTGAGGTTCCTGTCTTCAAAAATATTTGACAACAAATAAATAAAAGAATGGTAAATGTACGAAAGGCCGATCACAGTGGTCTCGCGGTCGGCATGAACTGTTCGTGTTGTTCAGTGTGTAGGTAAAGGCCTTGCGACGGGCTGATTCCCCGTCCAAGGATCCTACCGACTGTGTAGAATTAAGAAACTGAAAAGCGGCCATCGCCCAACAAAGGGCTGTAGAGCAATAGATGGATAAATGTACGAAAGAATCAAGATGTAACGCGAAGAGTCTGCTTCATGTCGGTTTTTTACTTATCTTACTCATCGAATAATTGAGGAGCTACTTGAATGCAAAATAACGGCTCCGGTCTAGAAAACCGAGCTAAGCGGCCTTGGGAATCCGTTGCGCTGACCACGCGACACCCTGTGTCCACTAAAGTTGGCACTAACTTCGCCGACAAGCAGCTATCGCTCGGTCGGTATAGTTCGCTTGCGGACTAAAGCCCACGGAGTTAATTTTTTTGCCTACTCTTCAACCCTGGTGATGGAGGCTAAATGTTCCTCCGAAACGTCTCTTTGTTTTCAGCTCTCTTCACGGCATATCCCAGGGGACGGAACTCTTCATAACCACTGCTGTGAGAACCTCCGATTTTCTAGAGGACATTATCTCTATTTGTCGTCAAACTAATCATTTACAAACACATACTCAAACCAGTTTGGGCATATGGTATAGAACTATGGGGTTGTAGTAAACCATCAAATACTAAGATTGTTCAGTCATTCCAATCCAAAACACTCCGTATCTAGAGCACCATGGTACGTCTCTGACCAAACTTTACATGAAGACTTCAAAATACCATTAATACAAGATGTAATTAAGTCAAACATAAACAAATACAAAGGCCGAACAACAGAGCATGCAAACCAACTCATAAGTGACCTATTCACCCAGCCCTTGGAAAAAAGAAGACTGAAGAAAATTTGGCCAGAAGACCTTCTCGATGATGTGTAACCACACGGAGAACCATTAATGAATGGTACCCGTCACAAGCCTTCAAATTTTAAACCATTTACTTATTACTCACATTGTTACTATGGAGTAGATTGTAAATTTGCAAGAAAAAAAATGTCACCTCATTACGCCGAGACGTTTGAATTCCATGCTGCATTTCTTCACTGTAACTCATGACCCAGGAATACACAGCGAACTGGAGAAGAAGCTTCAAATAACACGAGTCTTAGCAACCGAAGCACCACTGGACGCGACCCTGAAACCAGTGCAGTGCCCCGTTTTCACAACCAACACCTAAAATATTTCTTAATATCTCCCCCTCTACTCTTGGTCGTTGTTTTCCTAAGGCTTTCCGGGAGAATACAGAATTCACATCCTTATATATTTGGCATGGTAAAATCCGTCTTAATCCCTATTTATTGACAATTTATAATCATCCTCTCATCTGTGAAACTACTGATTTCTGGGATATAAAGCCGTGTATTCCGTTGAATGTCACCCGACGTTTCGGAGGAACGTATAACCTCCATCTTCAGGATCGAAATTGCCAAGAAGATACCAGCGTGGAAACAGATGGAAAGCCGAGAATTTTGTTCGCATCATTCAACCCAGAAGATGGATGCGATATGTTCATCCGAAACTTCGGCTCTCTTTCAACGGACTACACGTCTTTATATCCCAGAAGTCTGTATTCTTCATAACCACCGCCGTGAGATCTTCTGATATCATTCGGCGCCCGCATGTAACAGTTGAAATTTTGTTGTTGAAGAGCATACGAACCACTGTCGTGTGCAGAATGTAACGCCAGAAGGATTTACATGTTACTTGAGCGAGGCCTTCCTTGTTGTGCAGTATTCGCCTACATTTTGTTTGCTCTTGCTTTCAGACGGAGATCGCCAAAAGACTGAATGCCATAATCGCTCAGGTGCTACCGTTCCTAGCCCAAGAGGTAAGTTGCAACAGCCTGTCAAGTAATTTCTCTCAGAAGCGCGAGAAATGAGATGTTAATGTTCTGACACGGGCTTAAAGTTTATTCATCATACGATTGATTCTTATTTCTGTTCTGTCTACAATGTACAACATAGGCATTTTCGGCTGATGCCCATGTTATACCCTCAGCCTATTTTAAGTCTAGTCAAGAAAAGGAAAGGTAGCGCAACATAACCAAAAACTTAACCTCTTCAAAATTAATTTTGATATAAGATTTATACATCCACTCCCCCATACGTCTTCATGGCTCAGTGCTTAATTAGTTAAGCACAGGCACAACTTTACCTTATAAGATCTAAAAGTTTGTGGCGGTTGAACATGAGTACAGTTATTGTGTATCTGGACATTATCCATCGTCCTGTCTTTATCTGAAAACACTGTACTTTTGTTTTTCAAAACACACCCTTTCGGAGACTGGATTCTGTCTCCGTCTTCAGGTGAAATCCTGCTCAGTTGGGCCCAATCGATAGAGCTAGTACCTATCTCCGGGCATGAAGTGGCATGGATGTTTTGTATACAAAAATAGAGTGTAACAAAAAGCACTATGCTTTTGGCAGCCTTTTGTGATCAGCATATCCTGCTCAGCGTTACCGAAAGGAAGTGAATATTTGTTGTGCTTTGTTTTTAATTGACCTTGCATCAGATGAACCGTTTGTATAGCAACGGATTCTGATGGGAATATGATTACACATTATCGGAAGAAAAATAATATTTATTAAACGACGCTATTTCAGCCGAAACGGTTTTTTGGCGCCGGCTTGCGGTAGGACGATGATTATGATTGGACATTACATATGTAAGGATTTGAGAGGAGGTGGTCTTCCCTGTTTTAGGCATTACCCCAGAATTCATTTGGATAGGCAATCGGCAGGTACCATTATATGGTTTGTACCGGTGTTCACAGCTGCCCGTATAGTGACTGGGCTGCGGCATACACGACTGTGGTTCGACTCCTGGCAGGGTCACGTTTTTCTATGCGCCAGCTCTGCCCCCCCCCACAGCGACTTGTCCATTGGGTATCCGAGGTTA